ACCCGGGGCCGGGGGTCCGCCTCGGCCATGGGTCAGCCTCGGCCATGGGTGATCCTCGGCCATGGGTCAGCCTCAGCCATGGGTCAGCCTCAGCCATGGGTCAGCCTCAGCCATGGGTCAGCCTCAGCCATGGGTCAGCCTCAGCCATGGGTCAACCCCGGCCATGGGTCAACCTCGGCCATGGGTCAGCCTCGGCCATGGGTCAGCCTCGGCCATGGGTCAACCTCGGCCATGGGTCAGCCTCGGCCATGGGTCAGCCTCAGCCATGGGTCAGCCTCAGGTCCTGCTCATGCCCAGCCAAGGTTTGCAAGAGAGGCCCTTCCTGCTGCATGGCAGGATGGCTTCTTAGTTACCAAACACACACAAGAACAAGCCCTAAATGCAGGGACAGTGTTCAGGGGCTTTTCTTGGTGAGCTTCTCTTAACCTACCTTAGAGAGTCTTCGGCGTTTTTGTTCCATTCTTACGCTGAACAAGATATTTCCATCCCAAGCCGCACGAAACACATGGAAGTCACACGAGGAAAGGGAATATTTTCAGGATCCTATTAAAAAATTAAATATTTTAACCTAGACAATAGTAATCATTTTTGTAATTTCAGCAGATGAGCTGCCAAGTTTGTAAGATTTATTGCTAAAGAAAACAAACTTAGGTAGCAGCAGGAAGGGGCCTAGCATCTGATGTTTCAAGAACCTGGTGTTCAAAACAAAGCTGCTCATTGGCTTATAAACCACAGGGGTAAAATGCCAGAGAAGTTCATGTGTTTTCAGGATGCAGCTCAGCTTTAAGATGCCGCTGTCATCAGGGGTGAGGTTGGACACGCTTCCTTCTGGGCTTCAGATCCAGATGCTGTGCACAGTTCCGCTAACCGCCATCCCTAGCTTAGCCCGCTGGGATGAGCTCTGCCTGGAGCAGCTGCAGCAGCTCACCGAGAGGAGCCGCAGGGCTTCCCAACGCATGGTCTGCACGAGCCTCACCTGCCCTCGGCCTCCAGCAGCCTCGTGTTGGCCACTGCTCCTCAGCACAGGGGCCAGGGGCCGCCTGCCCTTCTCCGTGCACCGTGGGCCGCGCTGGCCGGGAGCACTCGTCAGTCTGGGACCATTTACCTGGAAAAAGCTTACGAGTAACCTCTGTGTTTTTGTGCTTCCCCTGACAGTGCTGATTGACAAAGACCAGGCCCCGAGATGGAAACCAGCTGCTTTAGAAGAAGTCAGCGAAGAATTTGTGGACGACTGCTTCAAGCCTTTGGGAAACGATGATCTCCAGCTGTAAAGGCAAAGCTTAAAGACCAATACCATCTTATACATCTGCTTAATTTTAGGGCGTACAAATTAATAGTGATGTGGTGGGACTCTTTTCCTAGCCTGTCTTCAGTTTTTTTTTTGCATTCAGGACCATTCTCTTGTTTGTGCTACCATAAAGACAAAAAAAGCAAAAAAAAACACTTCAAGGAAGATTATTTTTACTGAAAAAAATTTAGTACGCTATTGAATTCTTGGCATTCGCTCTGCTTTTAGGAGCAGCCTTTGAGAGAAGCAGCATGGCTAAAGGATGGGAAGCAAGGAGCTCTTGCTATTCTTGGCCTGTCACTGATCTCTTAAATAAAACGAGTAGGAAGTATATTTGAGGCTGTGAAACAGAGCTATGAAGGAAGACACAAGACATGCTAAATCCGTGGTGCTAAGCAATTTTTTAAACAAAAGGTCAGGCTGACACATGAGTCTGACAGCAAAAAAAATAGTCTATTCATGTAATGCTTAGTCTTGCTGTGTGATGTAGACCCTGTTTCAAGTGTCGTAACAGCAGAGCGCGCAGCACTGCTCTGTCAGACACGCCGAAACCGTGAAAACGCCACCAAGTCTGATGGAGCTTTGCAATGAGCTTTTCTAAAAAATGTCTTGGGAGCTTTTCCTGCGCCGCAGCGGCGAGGACGCCACGGGGCGACGAGCCGGGAACATCCCGGACGGGAAACAGTGCTGGCGGCAGGGCGGAAAACCAGGGAAAAGCGGGGGAAACGCAGCCGTGTGAGCTGGTGATGCAGGACAAATACAATGACAGGGGAAAGGTTAAGTGGTCAGCTGCTCCATGGATCCTCTGCTCCAGCAAATACATGTGCTGGGAAAAAAGATGAGTACTCATGTCCTTAAGTTCTTCTGCCAGTGCAAGAGAGGTAAGCCAGGCCATTACAAATAGGATATATATTGCAATATATTTGTAATGACATCTGTAATTTAACATTGGCTCTGCAAGAAATACATTTTCACATACTCAGTTGCTTCCAAAGTTTATGTAGAGCGGAGTTTATTCAGCACTCGTACTCACAGGATCCAGTCCGCTAGGCCAATTTCTTGTTAAATAAAGGTCTTACAAGCAGATGATCAGTTTGGTTTTATTCAATTCAAAAGAAAGTATTTTCCACAAAAATATTGTAAAAAATATATTGCAGTATGTGTTATTTGGATATACCGACGTATCTTACTCCAGAAATGTTAGTTTTACAAAGTTGTGCTGCAGTTAATGTGTTTTAAACCATGGTTAGGATATCAAGTCACCTGCCCCCTGCCTGCTCAGGCTGCACAAAGGATGTTCCGTGGAGAAAGTGCAATGCAAATGTATTTTTAAACTCCTAAAGAGAAGTAAACAATTCTGCAAATTACGCCAGCCCCCTTACCGAAGTGGTTTGATTACATAAAATTCAATCAAAGAATTGGTGGCATAAGCCTACACTCCCCCTTTTTTGTAAGACTACAGAATAGTTAAAACAACACAGTGAGCAGACACATGTAATTTTACTTCTGTAAAGAAACCTTTGTTAATAAAAGGCAGTATAGTATTGTGCCTACTAAAATACAGCAGAGCTCTTTGCTGGGAAGAGCTCTCTGTGGAGCCCTCGTTAAACTGCAGTGTTGAAGTTTCACTTTTTTTCTGTTTTATTCGGGACAAGCGCATTATTCCCTATGGGTTATGAGGGGCCCAATGATGTTCCCGGCGCGCGCGAGCTCCCTCCTGCTCTCGCTGCTGCCTCAGCCAGCGCTTCCCAGCCCAAATAACGGTTCAGATTCAGGCTCGCCGCTCGCCAGGGCTTGGAAAATCCTGCCTTGTACCCATTCCTAGGACCGCGTAGGCCTTCGGAAAAGAGTGAGGCTTTTCTCCAGTATGGGAAGCAGGTTTTTTTGTACACGTGTAAAATGGAAACATAAAATGGAAAGCCCTTGGGCTGAGGAAGAAATACTTTAATTGCCCTTAACAAAAAGAAACAGAAAAACAGGAGCTAAACAGGTCCTAAAAATACCAGTCCATCCATGTAGGCTGATTTCACTAACCGGTAAACTGGTATGGGCAGCTTTTGCACATTTATCTGGGTTACAGTAAAGGAAAAAGCTTCTCTGTCCCTCCAAAAAACACCAGCTTTGGTCTGAAGACAGTGATCAGATGGAATTAAATGCTCTTACTGCAGGATTTTGCAGAAGAGCCTTTGTGCATTTGCAGCAGCCGGAGCATCTGTTAATTATAGTGCACTGTTTATCAATATTGTAATGTTTCTCATTGCTTTGCTTAGGAATGGGAGTTGAATGCGAACATAGTCCATATGGTTCCCTGAATACTCCTTGGTTTTATAAAACACTTTGTAATACCTTCCTTCCTTTGCACTTTACAGATCGAGTCAGTAAGATCAAAGTAAGATGTATGACAGCAGTTTTCCTTGCTACACAGTGATCCTTGTTTCACTTCAGCAGAACACAGATTTTCCAAGCGTACAGCTCTCCTTTCGCTTACACCCAGGTAGGTTTTATGATGATCATGTTTGTTGTTTTTCCCCCCCGTACACAAAAATAATCCATGCTTTACCCTTCAGCATCTGCGGAGCCTCTGCAAAGTGGCGGCAGTGCTGGTCTGCTTCAGCCTCCTCACTTTTTACCACTGAATTCTGACCACACCAAGAACAGACTCAACATACAGCTGATAACAAGCAACACACTTATAGATTCTACTGTAAGCCAATTAATTTCTTAATAATATCAATTAAAAGGCATTTTATTCCGGCCTCCCTCGCAGACACAGTCACAGAGCGGCATCGTGCTCAGACCACAGCTGATTTTACTCACTGCGGGTCCGGCCTTTGCCGGCCGGGGCTCAGGGCACGTCGCTCTCGATAAAAGGGATGTCGCTGTATTTGCTTTCAGTCACTGCCCACTGCTTCATAGCCTGATCCAGGATGTCCTGGGAGAGCCGGTGCGCGTAGTCCAGCACGATGGAGCTCGACGGACCCTTCCCGTCCAGCTGTGCTGCCACCAGGGAGGATTTCTCCCCCGTGCCTCCGTCGTTCGCTATCCCAATCCTCTCATCCTGGATAGCATGTGAACCTGAAAAGGCATTCTTGGATTTGATGCATCCCATGGTACATTTGAAAAAAAAAAAAAGAAACTGCTCCAAATTTTAGTTCAACAGCATGTTTTGATAACTTGGAAGCGGTGTCCTCCTGGGTGGCAGCTCAGTGCAGCTGTCCCGTGCCAGTGGGTTCCGTTATTCCAAACGGACAGAGCGTCTCCCGTGGTGCTTCTTTGCATCTGAAGTAATCTGTGAAAGGAATGTTTCACATACATTCAATGGAAGGTGCTTGCTCTGCTCCATGAGCTCGCAGGAAAGCTAAATGCACTCCCGAAGTTTGCAGAAGCGACTCCAGGACCTCTGTGCCTAACATGTTCTTACCAGTAACATGTGTTTACTAGGCAGAACTTGGCTCACCGAGCGGCCCTTGAATCCAATTACCAACATGATACAAGCTAGGAAAACATCTAAGAGATTTACTCTTAGATGGCAGATGCTTCGCAGCCAGCTGATTCAAGAGTATCAGGTTCACAGCGATACTCTCTCCTTTCTGCTAAACTGTCACTGAGTAAAAGGCAGGAAAAGACAGGGTTTCCTTAACTACACAAGAAGCCCTGTATTTTATTTATATATATGAAATATACATATATATGAAATATACATATATAAATTCTGTGAACTTTTGCACTGTGACCATGAACTACACGTCCTGATGGTCCTTAAGATGTTCCCACAGCAGGCTCAGAGCCTGGCAGCCCCAGAGATTCAGTGAATTCCCATTGGGATAATACCTTTTATACACTAGTATCTGGTGCATATCTTCAATATGGAAGTTACCCCTTTTTTGTGCCATTTAAAGGATGCCTGTTGAACAGTGACCTGTTTTGTTTAGGTCACTGTGCTACTCACCAGCAATGACAACAGCTTCTCCCCATGGTCCCGGGACACTGCGGAGACAGCCTCACCACCAGGGCTCTGTAAAGGGAACCAAGAAACAAATGGAGTTACACAGGCCCTTGGGAAGAGGACTCGGATAGTCCCAGCGCTGTCATTATCATGGGAATCATCAATAACGGCCAAAATGGCCATTTCTTAAAGGTTTCCAATCCGCCACAGTTCACATAACCCATGTGCATTCTTGGGCTCCTGGAAAGAGCAACAGCGTGAGTTTTGCAGGGCTGATGGAGAAGGGAAGTGTACAGTCTGCCACAGAACAGGCAGGAGGCAGAGGATGAGGAGCAGGATGCAGAACAAGGATAGAAAACTTTTGTAACTGCTCTGCACAAATGCTCCCAGGAAAATTCAGCATCAGGTCTGGTCAGATGGGCTGAGCTCAGCCAGGATGTCATCTGCAAGAGGCCTGGCCAAAGCGGGGGCCACTTGGCCACAGCAACCGTCCCTGGCTCGGGAGGAGGGAAGCGGCTGCTCCTGGGGGCAACCTGGAGCTCTTGGAGCCTGGACCCAGTAATGCTCAAGACTGGCAAGCGAGCGGGGCAAACGGGCAGGGGCGTCCAGCTGCTGCTACCGCTTCAGTCTGTCGTTCAGCGAAGGGCACACTGCTTTGTTTCAATTAATTACTAGTTGATCTGCTAACCTACAACGTGGAGATGACGCCTGCATTTGCCCCAGGATGCTGCTCGCCGATTCCTGCCGCGGGGCTGACATCCCCAGGTCAGGGCAAAGCCCCAGGTGCGTGGGGGACAGGGCAGCTCCAGTCCTTTCGGCTGGGCTGCGAGCAGCAGAACCGCTGCCCTCACGTGCAGCTCAACAGCGCCTGGGGCCGCCGGTCTGGAAGGGCCTTTGCTGTCAGCACCTGCCCAAACCCCAGCGCAGCCCCGCACGAGGGAGGCTCCCCGGCC